GGCGGGGGATGGAGCGGCGCTATCTGGAGGGGGGGGCATGAGGAAGCTTTCGGGGCCCCCCCAACAGGCGGAACGCCAGGGCCCGGTCGCAATTGCGACCGTTCCGACCCTGGTAGTTCCGCCAGTGAGTAGATGAAAGTCTCTCGAAAGCATTAGTAAGACCTCATCTGGAATATGCAGTTCAGTTTTGGGCACCAGGTCACAAAAAGGATGTTGTGGAACTGGAGAAAGTGCAGCGAAGGGCAACTAAAATCATAAGAGGCATGAAGGAGCTCAGCTATGAGGAAAGATTAGCTGACCTGAATTTGTTCTCTCTGGAGAAAAGGCGATTAAGGGGGGACATGATCACTATGTATAAATACATAAATGGTCCATATAAAGAGCTTGCTGCCAAATTATTCACTTTAAGGTCACTGCAAAGGACAAGGGGGCACTCTTTGCGTCTGGAGGAAAAGAGGTTTTAACCTTTGCATACGGAAAGGATTCTTCACAGTTAGAGCTGTGAAAATGTGGAATAGACTCCCCCAGGAGCTAGTTCTAGCTAGCTCAGTGAACTGTTTAAAAAAAAATCTGGATGTATTCCTAAAGGCACAGAATATTACTGGATATGGAGCTCTTGTATACAAAGCATCAGAGATTTAGGTAATTGTGGGCATAGTGTTCTGTGTAGGCTTTTTTTTCATATCTCTATAGGTTGAACTCGATGGACATGTGTCTTTTTTCAACCTGACTAACTATGTAACTATGATCTGGTGACAATCTAATCTCTGTGAGCCACTGGCAGAAACAGCCAGTTGAGGCTTCTTAGGGGAACAGTGATCATATAGGTCAGAAAACCTTTCATCACTTGATAGGCCAGCACAGTAGGCATCTGTAGTGCACTTCTCAATCTATCTCCATTGGTCTACACTAAGGGTAGTGAACTAAAATTCAAGGAGGTCCTGTGTATGAAATTTCCATCGAGCCGAGGTCCAAGTCATCCAGACAGAACAGTCACTCAATTTGTCTGTACCACTATCCGCCATTTAGGCTGAATGCACAGCTGCTGGTGTGTGTTCCCAGGTGTAGTGCTGATGTGCTAATTGCAGAGCATTGCCCCATTTACACACATATGTATGTACACATGTTCATTAGAATCAGATGTAAGGTGTGGAAGGGTTGGTTTTAATTTTTTTTTATGAATTATAATGTTATTAATTTTTATACTTATCGCCTTTTTTGTAATTACTCGCTGCCCTGCTTCCTGGTACCGGAAGTATCGGGCTAGCCATCGGCACCAATACTAGTATCGGTGCATCCCTACCTGCAAGGATCCCCCTTTTCAGGCCCCCCCCAGGGCTCACTAGCAGGATAGACAGGGGAAGGAGCGAGGACAGCTGTCAATCAGGCAGCGACAATATTGTTGGGATACTTCCCGGCTCCATCATGGCTCTGGCCTGGACATTAGGCCACTTTTGACCTGACTTTGGGCTACAGAAGTACATTAAAAAATGTACTCCTGTGACCCAAAAGAGAAGTAAAGGAAAAAAAAAGGTTTGGCTTTTACCGCCATGGTCGGAATGCAAGGTCTGCTTTAAAGGGAGCAAGTGTTTTGCCCATGTAGGTCTAAATAGCATGTACATTGAAGGATTCCCTTGCCGAGCTGCACAAACTTAGCTTCCCTGCACTCCCCACCATTTTGGTCGACCTCTGGAAGCAATAAGAAATACCTGGTACTTCCAGGAATGGAGAGCATGTTACTGCTCTTATGTGACAGTGTTGGAACGAACCTGTTGTTTTGGCCTGCATGGGAAAGAACAGGTTCGCTCTAAATGTAAATCAGATATACGATACTTTGAAATATGTTTTTTTTTTTTTTTTTACTTTTTAGATTGCCTCTCATTAGTGTTGCCTTAATTCAAGGAAAAGCATTGGGAGGAGGTGCTGAATTAAGTACAGCATGTGATTTCAGGTATGTTGTCCATAAGATATGTTAAGAAAACACAAAGGTTTTAGTAGAAATATTTAACTAAAATGTTGATGAGGGGGAAAAGGATGAACCAGGGAAAGCAAAATATAAGCAGATAAAATGTCAGCGTAAAAATAGAAGTTGATATAAATCCAATAATTATAGTCACATATAAGCTTTAAACATATTAATTTCAAAAGTTGTATTCAGTCGGTCTGCAGCATACAATAATGGCTGGTGATCTTGCCATGAATGTTCATGTTCAGGCTCTTCCTGTTATTGGGTGACAACTGTTTCTCACTTTTGCTACTGTGCTAACACCCTGTTAAAGTGACATTAAACCCTCAGATTTTTTAACATAAAACAATACTGTAATGTGTGCCTTACTGTAATCCATGGTTGTTTCCCTTCTCTTTGCTGCTCTTCCTTTTAAATCCTCATGTCTTCTCATGCTGGGGGAGAACTTCCCTTTGCAGCTGACTGCCTCTTCCTGTAGTGCTGGCTCAGGTTGTGAACCTGCATACAGACACCATGTAGCCATTCCAGAGACAATGCAATCTGCTGCAAAACAGAAGTTCTGCCCAGCATGAGAACAGATACAGATTTAAAAGGAAGAGCAGCAAAGAGAAGGGAAACTACCATGGATTACAGCAAGGCACACATTACAGTATTGTTTTATGTTAAATAATCTGAGAGTTTAATGTCACTTTAACTGCGCCCCTGGTTGAGACTTCAAGCAGCCATGCCAACACACCTAATCCATGTTGCCACTATCAGTAAGCCAGTCCAGAGCAATGATGTGCAGTTGAAGCTAGAGCAATTTCATGTAGACATGAAGGGCTGGAGATCAGCAGCATTGAGGCACAAAAAAAGCATTAAAAAGGTATATTTAGGAGATCAGCAGCATTGAGGCACAAAACAAGGCTTACCATTTGTTTAGTATACCCATAGCTTTAGTAAATTAAATGTCTTTCAGTTAGGGTCTAGATCCTTGGTTCTCAACTGGTGGATCGTGACCCCATGTTCAGTGGTCCACTTTTCTAGGTGAGAGGATCCTTAGCCTCCCCCTAGCGCAGCACCGTCCATTCTTACACCGAGCAGCCATTCAAAATATTCTACCCGGCGCCAAGTGTCGACTTGAGGTGGGGTGGGCTGAGGGTATGGCAGCGAGGGAGCTCCATCCATATATGCATTGCTTATAGCTCCCTTGCATGTCCTGTAAAGGTGCCTGGACTGGAGTGACACCACACATTCTGGCTCCCAGCAAATATATAGGCGCGCATGGGAGCTGTACAAACAATGCACATATGGATGCAGCTCCAGCACAGCAGCCCACACTGCCGTGCGTTCCTGTGCAGTGCAACTTGGGTCACGACTTAATGACCGAGGACAAATGTGGGTCCTGAGGTAACACAGGTTGAGAACCACTGGTCTAGATCAACTTTAATGGTTAACACTTAAAGTAAATATTTCATGTTTTAATACCAGAAACTGTCTGCTACTGTAGAATATGCTCCTCCAGTGCACATCTTTCCTTTAAAACAAGTACTTACTATCACAATTTGCTTCAGAACCCCCTCTTCCCTAAAGTTATATGCAGATAACCTTTCACATTTTACCAAACAAATGTGCCGTGCTACATGATGAAGTCATTGTGATGTAATATAGGGCAGAGCTGGTGATGCAGAGGTGGGAGAAGCATCCTAGTACTGCCGAAGTTTGCAGGACCAAACCTCTACCTGCTTCCATCCTTGAGCTCCATTTTTCTGTTATTTAGTCGGATTTTATTGGATTTCATTGATTGTTCATGCGAGTATTTTTTTTTGTTTAATAAAGGAATTAGTTGCAAAGTACAGTAAGCACTATGGCGTACATTGTTTTTTATTTTTGAGCGATCACAACATATTAACACTGTACTGTGAGGACACTGTTGGAGGAAAAGAAAAAAAGATAGATCCCCATCAAAAGGGGAACAGCGTTTTCAAACCCGGAATGAGGGTTTGGCCATGAGATGAGCTGCTTTTCATTTGGGATACAGAAGGTGTCTTGCTGTCCAGTGATGGATACACTACTTCAACACTTATTGCACATAATCTTATCTCCACGTGTGTTGGCAAGAGAATTAAATGAATTGATTTCTCTTAAGGACTTGCACATAATAAGACTTATTTGAGACTGTTTCACAGTTGTATGTACTATATATTCTTTGGGTACTTTGAATCACTGCTCCAATTCATTGGTTACTGTTGCACTTATTGTATACATTTGATTAAGATTTGTTGTATTTATTTATTCTGGTATTGAAATTGTAACACAGCACATTTGGTAAAATGTTGAGGTTAGTGATTTACCTAGGATCACCAGTGCTTGCTAGCTAAAAAATACACTTATTGGTGCAAGATTTGTTTTTTGTGTACCTTTCACATTGTTAAACTAGAGAGGGAGCAAGCATCTTGGCCCCATATATAGAGCTCTGGGTTTTTTAGCATATTAGGTCAATGTAAAGGTGGTACTAGAGGGTGTCTTCTTAACCGCTGCAGGCTTACAGGATTGCTAAATCTTAAAAGTGTATCTCCAGCCTAAACTTGTTTAAATTGTTTTGGATAGGGTATAGAAGGGTTAGAACAGTACAGATACAACAAGTGGTTGAAGAAAATAGACAATTACTAAAAATGATAACTTTGGCAGATGTCATTTGAATCAGTGTCTCAAATAGAAGATATCCCTTCTATTGCTTTTCCAGTAACTGTAATTGTGTCTCCTTCATTCTCTCTCCCTGTGACTGTTTTCCTCAGGATATGTAGTGAGAGTGAACCCCCTGTTAGAAGGTTTACCCTCTCTTCCTGTTTTTGTGACAACTCAAAAATGTTGTATTTTTCCTTTCATTGTAATCTGCCCAAAACGTCGAGATATTTTTTTAGACAACTTTGTTTCATAGCAATGTGATGTATGGTTTAGTGTTACATGCATTAGGTTACTATCTTTTCTTACAGTAGAAGATTATTTATCAGACAAAAACACAGGTTTTATTTTCTGTTCTCCTGCAGGTTGATGACTGAAGACAGTGAAATACGATTTGTCCATAAACACATGGGTTTGGTTCCAGGTTGGGGCGGAGCGACACGATTAATTCAACTTGTTGGAAGTAGACACGCCCTGAAAATCCTCAGCAGTGCTCTCCGCATTCATCCTAAATATGCATTAAATATTGGCCTTGCTGATGACATTTTATCTTTTGATGCTGATGGACCCTTGGAGGAATCCCACAAATGGATAGCATCATACACAAAAGGAGCAGCCGATGTGAATAGAGCAGTGAAAAAAGTAGTAGCCTCTGGAAGAGAAAAGTTAATTGAAGATTCTCTGAGGGCAGAGAAGGATATTTTTGGAACAGTGTGGGGTGGGCCCGCCAATATGCAAGCATTGTCAAAAGGAACCAAACACAATTAGTGAAGATATTCTTCAAAATTACAGTTACCTAAAAGGGCTCCTGATTCAAAAAGAAGAATTAAAAAGTGAACGTGTGAATGATACAATTTATTAGCATTGTGCCTCTGTATACTCTACTGTGATATATGAAAAATGTGTTCCAGGTTTATACAGTAATGTATTGCGGTCATATTTCTAGCTCTCTAAAGCAGTCTTTCCCAACCAGGGTGCTGTGGGGTACTCTAGGGTACTTTCTGGCTTCCTCTGGGGTGCCTCCAAATCTTCACAAAACATAATTTCCATTGTTTAGGTGGGCTGGCCACCAACACCATGGAAACGTATGATGCAAATCCAGGGAGGGTGGGATCTATTCAGAAAAGGTCGGAGGTTCGCCCCCCACCCAGGCCAGCTCCCCCTCCTGCCCTCTGGCGTGCTGCCATAGCTTTGACTCCTGATGTGTTGATGGGACTGATGTGAAGAGGGCTTCTGATGTGAGGGGTGATCTCTGATGTGATAGGTAGGGATGAAAGTAGAGACTCTAATATGAAAGGGGGGCTCTGATGTGAAAGGGTGGCTCCCGATGTTAAGGGGGAACACTAAACTGAAAGAGGGAGACTCTGATATGAAGGGGGCTCCTAATGAAAAGGGGAACTCTGTGAAAGGTGGGGCTCTAATGTGAAGAGGGTCTATGTATAAAGTCACTCGCACTCCAATAGAATTTCAAGTCAAAAAACGGTTTATTGACTCGATTGCTATCACATCATATAGTTATATGATGTGATAGCAATCAAATCAATAAACTGTTTTTTGACTTGAAATTCTATTGGAGTGCGAGTGACTTTATACTTACACTTATCTTGGATTGCAGAGGCATCTGCAGTCACTCTGGCACCCACCCGACTCTATGGGTATTATTCGGTCAGGAGTGCGATGGGAACACAACTTTTTTGTGTCTTTGCACTTTTAAATTCCAAGGTGGGGGGTCTAGTAAGGATTTTGGAGGGACCACATGTTTTACATTTACATTTTTTTAACATTTTAGAGGCTGGGGTGCCTTGAGATTTTGCATACTTTTAAAGGGTGCCGTGACTGAAAACATTTTGAGAAACGCTGCTTTAAAGTAATACATTTTTTTTAACAGTAATCACATTTTTTTGGAGGGGGTGATGGCTTAAAATATATGTACCACTCAGAAAAAAAAAAAACTTTAAAGCTCTAAATAGTATTGTATTGATCTACCTATTTGGTTGTGTAGAGCAATGCACAAATTGCACTAACCCGTTGCAGCACATCAGAATTCATCTTTCACTAACCTGACATGAAGTGAATCTGTACTGGAAATAAGTTGATATACTCGAAAAAGGCTAGTTTTTATAGAAGGCACTAAAAGGTTCTTTAGCATACTTCTATTTGGCAAGTTATCCCTTTACCAAGTGCCACTGGAAGTCACCTCAAAGGGCCTCTTAGAGGAGAAAAGATACAAAAGGTTTTATATAGCGGAATACTAAACTACAAGTACTAAAGGCCACGTCTGGTCCCTGAAAGATTTGCAGGATGGATAAATGACTACACTAAGCTAGGGCACATGTATAGCAGCAAATGGCAAGTTGCTTAATCAAAAGATTCACAAGGGAGAATGAATTCATAAGTGTACAAAACAGATAAAAGACCAGTGCACGTCTGCTATTAGAAGATGTGACCTAATTTAAAGCAAAACTGAATGGAAGACACTGTCTCTCCTGTCATAAATGCTTCTCACTGCCTGTCAGCATTTTTTTTTCTCAAAAGCACACTAAGCAGCTCAGTGTACAGTCTTGGCTTGATTTTATGCTGAGATGAAGTAACTCCTGTGCGAGAGTTGCATCATCCCAGGAGCAAATGGGGGCAGAAGATATCAAATTGGGTGCAGGTTTGTCCAAACCTCTGTCATTGTCCTTAGTGGTGAGACAAGTTGTTTTACATGCTGGTTTGTGAGTGTGCCATGATGCCTTTCTACTGTTTTACTGTTCAAAGCCCATTTTGTGTGCACCTTACTGTATAACTGATAACAAATTGTTGAGTGCGTTTGTCATTTGTTTTGCTTGACCGATTTGGTGCAGCGACGCATGGGGTTACTCAGCTGCCATTGGGATGTGCGGGATCCCTTGTGTGTTTCTGTGCTTTTAAGGAGGTTGGGCTTCCTCCTGACAAACCTGCACCCAATTTGATATCTTCTGCCCCCATGTGCTCCAAGATGGAGACTCTCATAGTTTAGAGTTAGGACCGCACTATAAGAGGTGCCTTGGCGCGGCAGTGCGGCTTTCACATCCTCTGCAGAAGACGTGTATCCAAACCTCTGTCATTGTCCTTAGTGGTGAGACAAGTTGTTTTACATGCTGGTTTGTGAGTGTGCCATGATGCCTTTCTGCTGTTCCAAAGCTCAGTATATCGTGGGCAATACTGAAAGCGCCGCAGCCGGGGCGGCTCCCAACAATTGTGTTGCGATCCACTCAGCTGCGTGAGTGACAGCTGGCTCTGCCTATCTAGAGGCAGAGCCAGCTGTGCCCATCCCCTCCCCCGTTCGTTTCTCTACTCAGTGCTGGAGGATCAGAGAGGGGGGAATCCCTGCGGGCAGCGGTGACTGACAGTCACCACTCTCTGCAGGGAGACGATCGGGAAGTGAGCCGATCAGCTGCATGTTTCTGCTCACTTCCCAATCAATAGAGCCGACCTGTGACAGCTTCTTTGTCACAGGTTGGCTCTAACTATGAGGATGAGTGGAAATCACACTCACCTCATAGTTCTCCTTTTAACCCCTTTTACTTTGTGTTGCTGTTACAGTATGGCAGAACATATCGCAGGAGCCCCCCAAAAAGTGCCTTACTGGCTCCTGGATTTGACAGACTGGGTCCTGAATTCCATATTCATTTGTCCACTCCTGTGTTAGAGATTTCCCCTCACTATACAAGACAGGAAGTGAATCTCTCAGACTGCAGTAAAACATGACAGGGGTTCTAATCATTCTCTCCTCTATCCAAAACTATGGATAGAGTTTTGGGTATAGATATACTTCTTTTGAAAACAATGGTTGCATGAACACTCATATGCCCAAAGGGTGTCTTAGAGGACACAGTAGTGGCTAACCCAACTGTTTTATGTTTCAAAGAATGACTGAACAGGATGCCTTCTGCTAGGCATTTCAGAGATGTGTGTATACAGCGGGCAGCAATAAAATTATGACCACCAGTCTAATACTGAGCAGGTACCCCTTCTACCGCTAAAACAGCCCTGGGCCATCAAGGCATGAACTCCAACCTAGAGCTCTGAAGGTATACTGTATGTGGCACCAAGCTGTCAGTAGCAGATCCTTTAAGCTCAGTAGGATTGAGATCTGCAGAATTTGAAGGCCAACTCAACACCTTAAATTTGTTCGTGTTCTTCAAATTATTCTTGAACTGCTGTTGTAGGGTGCATTATCTTGTTGAAAGAGGCCACAGCCATCAGGGAATACCAATTCCATGAAGGGGGGTAGTTGGTCAGCAACAATGTTTAGGTAGGTAGTACGTGTCAAAGTAACATCCACACGAATGGCTGGGCCCCAAGGTTTGCCAGCAGAACATTTTGCAAAGCATTACACTGCCTCCTCTGGCTTGCCTTCTTCTAGTGCATCTTGGTGGCATATCTTCCCTAGGTAAGTGACACTCATGCACCCAGCTATCCTCATGATGTAAAAGAAAATGTAATTTATGAGACCAGACCACTTTCTTCCATTGCTCCGTTGTCCAGTTCTGATGTTCACATGCCAATTGTATGCACTTTTGGCGGTGGACAGGGGTCAGCATGAGCCTCCTGATTGGTCTACAGCTATGCATACACAAAAACTGTGATGCTCTGTGTGTTCAGACACCTTTCTATCAGAACCAGCATTAACATTTTCAACAATTTGAGCTACAGTAGCTCTTCTACTGGATTGGACTACATGGGCCTACCTTTGCTCCTCACATGCATCAATGAGCCTTGGCCATCCATAACAGTCATCGGTTCAATGGTTTTCCTTCCTTGGACCACTTTTGGTAGCTCCTGACCACTGCAGATCGGGAACATCCCACAAGAGCTGCAGCTTTGCAGTTGCTCTGACCCAATCACCTTCATCACAATTTGGCCCTTGTCAAAGTCACTAAAATCCTTACACTTGCTCATTTTTTCTGCTTCCAACATATCAACTTTGAGACAAAATGTTCACTTGCTGCATAATATATGTCACCCACTTCCAGGTGCCATTGTAATGAGAGAATCAATGTTGTTAACTTCATCTCTCAGTGGTCATAATGTTTACATGCATACATACATACATACATAAACACATTCATAGAGATAGAGATAGAGATAGAGATAGATATCTATCTATCACACACACCACACACACTTGTAAAATGTGACATAGAAACACAACACAGTAACTGTAATGCAGAAGTCAAAAACATGTTGCTGATAAAATGTAATCTTTATTAAATTACAAATCTTGTAACAAAAACAAGACAACTTGAAGGAAAATATTCTAAATGCAGACTAGACAGCAAAGTCTAAGGAGAGGAAAGGGTGTAAAAATTATCAACAAAACAATATTAGCTCTTTATACATATGCTGCTGGAAGGTTGATCTAAAATGGAAGCCATTTGCGTATTAGACCACATTACTTTAAACTTACAAATACATGTCATTAAATAACATTTACGCAGCTCCTGGGCTTTGAAAAATGGATCCTCATTCTTACAGTACAACTCATGCAGAGTTCATTGACAAACATCTGGACTTCAATACAGAGAGCTTTTAGATGATGGTTCTCTCTGGTCAATGAAGATGTTAGTTCAGCTACAATGTCACAACAGATTGGAAAACATGCCAAGCTACACAGTGTCCAAGTTCAAATCTACAACGATAGTTGTAGAGGTTTGTTTTTTTAAATTCATATGAATTTAGCATTTATTTGTAGCATATTTAAATGGAATAGCAGCCTGTTACATCCAATTGAGTGAGGGGAATTTGTGATGAGAACATTTTCGTTCTTTAGAAAGAACCAGGAGAAGCAATTACAAAGCTAAAACACACACACTCACACACAAGTAAAGACAAAGTGTAAGAGGAGACTACAAAAGCACAAAGTGCTGAACAGGCCTATGATGTTTAATGTCATCCAAATAAAACGACTACTTACATCAATGTGATGTCATCATAGCCACAAAAAAAAACCCGAAAAATAAAAGTAGAAATCATCTTGAACATAGTTTTGGAGTGAATTCACCAATATATAAAATACTTTAAAAAATGCAAATTCTGGAGGTCTTAAATCATAGCCAGAACACAGATTTCAAGTCAGGAGCGAATAGCTACGAATGATGGTGGGATGATCTTCCCAACAGTCCTTAAGAAGCCATAGGCTCAGCTCAACACCTGCCTGTGGGGGACGGACCCTTTCAGAGGAAACCAAGCAATTAAAACTAAGTGGAGTTTTCTATTACTTGTTACCTTTTTTTGGAACTTCTTGAATAATTATGCTTTGATTTCTGCAGCACAGTGTAGTAAATACACAGCACTGTAAATCTTCGACTAGAATGTATGGAAAAATCAAGAAGCAGGAGATTTATAGTCAACTGCTAGTAAAACTATTGGGCAGATTGATGGTTGTTTTCGGTCTTATGACCCATGCTTTTAGACTATACAGTCCACTTCTGACAAATAGGTGTGGATTAAGTGCGGCAAAACATTTCCTACATGTCTGCTTCATAATACGTGCTAAAAATGGTAATGTAGCAACGCTCTTTCCTACTGTTATGTCACCAAGAGTGAAAAGCCTTCCTCACCATGATATACAAAACGTTCATTGTCCCACTCATTGTAAATGACTGTTCAGACCTATTCCCCATGTGTTATGTTGATAGAAACCGTAATTTCCCAACTCCCATGCCGCGCTCTAGTTCTATGACCGTGACTTAGTGAATAGGTTTAGGGTCACTGCCCTAGAGCCTGTTTAGGATATATACATCATGAAATTCTTGTTTCCAAGAAAGGGTTATCACAAGGAGTTTTGCCTTGGAACAGTCCCTTTACATTTGAATTTCCAAGCCCTACAAGACATTCCATTTATTGATAGAACAGTGCAAGAGAATTCATTCTCATGTAATATATCTTTTCCAAATTAGCTTACATGTAAACTTTAAGGACAGATTATCTGCAAATGAATGTACGCCAATACTTGGGAGAAACCTTTAACAAGACAAATAAGTAGGCAGCCATTGCTAAACTTCTCCAGGAAATGCCAATTAACTAGCAGTCTTCAGCTGTAAATATTTCAGTTAATGGCCCACTAGAACTCCTGATCTCCACATTTGTACCAAGTGAACAAGTTAAGGTATTAAAGCCATTGGATCTCCATGAAAGTCAGTCCACTAACATTTTCAGAAGCAATGACGTCATGCATATTTCGCTCCGTACAGAATTCCTTTAATATAGTGCTGTAGAAAAAGCTATACAGACTTCAGGACCTTGTCAATCTGCTCCCACTTCTAAATAGGCAAATAGAAAACTGGGCACCCGCTGCATTTTGTAAGCCTACTGGTTATTCAACATCATTTGGTCCAGTTCCAAGATATTCAGTTGTAACAAAGTAAAGAATACTATAAGCAAATGACACACTGAATTATGTTTCTTCTACTTTCACGAGAGCAATTGATAGTGCTACAATCATCAGACTGTTACTTCCTTGACCATACCTTCTGGTTTAGCAGTACTATAAAAACATGGAATCATATAGGCCAGTTCAGCACTCCGTATATGCCAACTCAGTCTTCTCACTCATCTACTAATAAATAGACCTTCCAGCTTAAAAATGAAACAAATCAAGATATACTTCATGTTAGGGGGTCAGTATTTTTTATTCAAATAACCAGCTGTCTAGGTCTGAGCTCAATCCTAAAGCAATGACATCTTGCATGGCTTGTTAAAAGCATGGGAACCTCACTTACTTAAACCTCAGTAACTGTGCACTGTCCATCAGGTCTCCTAGACCTCACACTGGCACTTTGTGCACCGTTAGCTGATGCAGCCGCACGATCTGGTGCTTGCTGCGTAGACCCTACAACGTTTTGTCTTTGCTGAACAAGTAATGGGTTCTGCTGAAGTGAAAGAATCCCTTGATCGCTGCCGTCATCTGATTCAGGTTCATCTACAGTGGTATTAGCAGGTGGCACTCTGCCTCCAAGCTGTGGAAGTCCTTCTTCACCTTCCCCTATGTTATTTCTACCCATATCATGATCTCCGATCTGAAGTTGAGAGAATGCACTGTCAAGTGAAGTGCCATCGGTTTGCGAGTTTGCAGGGGCTGGATTTGCAGTCTGACCACCAAGTGCTGTATGAGGTCTTACAGGTAAAAGAGCAGTAGGCTGGCCTGATGCTGCAATGTTATCTGCACCGTCAGCTGAGCTTTCTCGAGCAGGGTTTACATTTGCTGCATCACAGTCTAGTCGTAGTCCAGCAACACCTTTTTTTGGTATGTCCACAATATCCCTTTTTATCTTTCTGCGGCGTCCATGCTCATTTCGTCGATACTGTACCATGTTCTCAAAATCAGCTACATAAAGAAAACCAGCTATGAGCATCTCTGTGTTCTTTTTGCCTTTTGTGAAAGCATCTTCCAGCTCTCTGGTCGTCCTCTCATCATACTGCCACCAACCATTTCTTCCCTCATAGTACCAAGCATATTCACCATTCCCTCGACTGGCAGACTTTAGTTCCTCAGGGGAGAGTAAAGTTGGCTTATCCAGGAAGTCCTCAGGGATTTCTTGCCTGCACAGTGCACATCGCCTTCCAAGCCATGAGGCTCCTTTCACACACAGATAACAAAAGATGTGCTTGCAAGGAAGACTGACTGGGTGAACACAGGTTTGGAGGCAGATAGCACATTCTGGGACTGCAAGGCTTGGGGCACCATTGGAACAAGCTTCTCCTAGCTTCTTGTTTGTGGGCAACATATTTGCAGTGTGGCTTACTTCACCACAACCGGCCATCCTGTTAAAGATTTAAAAGATAGTATGTCAACAATGAGAAGAAAACTGTAAGTAAGTGTAGCTAGATTACAGAGCCATCGGCTATTTACTGCATTAGAAATACAAATAAATGGACCTGGTTTATCAAAATTATAGCATTAGATCAGTCATACTTAGCTTAAATCTTCTTTAGTTATTAGAAAAAACTTGCAAACTGATTAATGCACAGAAATGGGGGTGTGAGAAGTGTACTCATTACACGGCACTCATTTTTTTTGTTCTATTTTTCATGAGGGTGACAAAGGGGAAACCGTCTACTGCTGCCATCTCGTTGAGACTATTTTAACCTCCCTGGCGGTCTGATTATATCTTTTTTTCCCCCAATTTTTTTTTAATTCCAGCCGGTTCCGCCCCCCTGCGACGCCGACGCTCGCAAGGAACGGAAGACGGATGCCGGCATCGGCCAGAGGACACAGCGCGGCTGGAGGGACAAGGTGAGTAACGCTACTGTGTAATCCCGGGTGTGGCTAGGGGTTACCGCTTATGGTACTGAAAATTAACCCAGAGCCATACTCGGGAATACCGCCAGGGAGGTTAACTCAATGATGACACATTTTGCTGAGAAAAAAAAAACATAATATATGGGTTACCTGCACTTATTTTAGCCTCTTAGTAGTTAAAGGAGAAGTATGAGGCAAGACAAAGAAGCAGCCACAGGTCGGCTCTATCGATTGGGAAGTGAGCAGAAACATGCTGCCGATCTGCTCACTTCCCGATCGTCGCCCTGCAGTGAGCAGTGCCTGTCAGTCACCGCTCCACACAGGGATTCCTCCCGCCCCTCTCCGATTCTCCAGCGCTGAGTGGGGTCAGTCACCATGCATGCATTATAATCTGGGCAGGCACAAGTGACAACAGCGATATCTCAGGATAGCCAAGGCTTTGCAGGATTTAGAAGGCAAATACCAGCATTGTGTAGAATATATTTATATATGAGGGAAGTGCCATTATTGTTTAATTCTGCTCTGAAGGCGCTAAGATTACAAAACATTATCAGTGCTGTAATAAAGAACAGGCAATAAGATGCCATACTTCTGATGTCATCATCCTTCCTGCACTACATGCCACAGATATGTAAATCACAAGAATATCTGAACAGATATAGCAGCTGACATACACGTAGTTCCACTCACAAAAAAGATACAGATGTGTGTTTATGAATCAATTTTTCAATGGCTGTGTGGCAGGAAAATCCGACCTCCCCTCCCAACCATCACACCCTCTTGTTTATGTGAGCGCCACTTGTGGATCGCTCATAGAGCAGTAAAGGGCCTCCGTGATGAGGGAGTGGGTATAAGCGACAACCTACTGGTCAGAACCTCAGACTGGAAGAATGACGTACACATAGCAAAACACACGATATCAGGTCCACCCTTGTGGAAACCTACCGCGATAACAAACCCCGTCAGACACAACGAGCTCCCGCCATGACATACCTCTCCACAGTACCGTGCGAAACGGCACTACCCGCTGTCAATCGTTGTGACGGAACAATAACCCGGAAGTGAGTGGATGCACTAGTTAACCCCCGAACATCATTTCCCTTCCGTGTCTATCCCCGCCCAGCGGCCAGTCACCGAGTCGTGTGATTTCGGCCACTAGGAATGGAGATGTTTGCGCTTTGGAAACCGTGATTGGCTAGCGTGCTGGGCGAGCTGTTCTCTGAGAACCGTGATTGGCTTCTGTGTTGGCAAGGCTTGTGAGCTGGGAGCTGTGATTCGCTACGGTGTTGGCATAGCTATGCTCTGAGAGCCGGGATTGGCTATAGTGTTGACAGGGCTGCGCTCTGAGAACCGTGATTGGCTGCAGTGTTGTCAGGGCTGTGCGTGTTCTTTGGTAGCTTGGAAAACAGGAAGTACAGAAAGCTAAAAGATTTGTGCGGAAGTGTGCAGGTTATGGTGGTTTCACTATAGTTAGTGTCTATCAGAACAGAGCTCCTCTGGCTGACCTGCACTGCACTTTACTGTGGAGGAATAGGGCTCCCTGCAGCTTAGCTACTTGAAGGGAAAGTACTGAAACCTGCAGTAGCAACATATATTATCATACCTCCCAATTGGAACCAAATCCCTGTGTCCCTCTTTCCTCTTCAGTTGTCTCTCTTTTTAGTCTGGTGTACAGATATCTATGAAAAGGTTCTATTTACTACAAACAGTGTTATTCTGCACTAAAACTTTTATCTTATCTCTTAATTATCTTGTTTACTATTTAAGTGAGCCAGTATAAAGGAAAAGCAATGGTGAAAAAACAATAATGGGCTTAGCCAATCATCTTTGGCATATAAAACCCTAATGGTCTCCATAACAGGGGGTGTGGCAGGGGTGATTCCATCGGTGGGGGTGGGGCTAAGCAGAGATGACCCTCTCTGAGTCCAATACGGAATCCCACTGCACTCCTGACCAAAAGACCCCATATATTACGGGGTGCTGAAATGGCCGCAGATGGCAACGCCAAATATTCAAGAGTGAATGGTCAGCAGCACTCCAAATGTTCTTCAATGCCAAATCTTTTTTATTAGATACAGCAGGTCATATCACCATGCGTAGCAACGTTTCGGAACCTGTCTGATCCCTTCATCAGGCAAACAAAGTGTTTAAGTGATGAAGGGACCAGACAGGTTCCGAAATGTTGCTACAAATTGTGATATGACCTGCTGTATCTAATAGAAAGATTTGGCATTGAAGAACATTTGGAGTGGTGGTGACCATTCATTCTGTCGGTTCAGTTTGCCCAGGTCCACTCAAAACTATAACCCCCCACTCCTCCCTGCTGGCCCAATCAGTGGCGGGCAGCTGCAGCGGGGGCATTCCCTGTCCCTTTGTGACGTATACAGTATCTCACAGAAGTGAGTACACCCCTCACATTTTTGTAAATATTTTATTATTTAATTTCATGTGACGGCGCAGAGGAAATGACACTTATTGCTACAATGTAAAGTAGTGAGTGTACAGCTTGTATATCAGTGTACATTTGCTGTCCCATCAAAATAACTCAACACACAGCCATTAATGTCTAAACCGCTGGCAACAAAAGTGAGTACCCCTAAGTGAAAATGTCCAAATTGAGCCCAATTAGCCATTTTCCTTCCCCGGTGTCATGTGACTCATTAGTGTTACAAGGTCTCAGGTGTGAATGGGGAGCAGGTGTGTTAAATTTGGTGTTATCGCTCTCACTCTCTCATACTGGTCGCTGGAAGCTCAACATGGCACCTCATGGCAAAGAACTCTGAGGATGTGAAAAAAGAATTGTAGCTCTACATAAAGATGGCCTAGGCTATAAGAAGATTGCCAAGACCCTGAAACTGAGCTGCAGCACGGTGGCCAAGAACATATAGCGGTTTAACAGGACCGGTTACAGGTACTCACTTCTGTGAGATACTGTAGCTATAGGGAGTGGAATGCGCCTCTCTGCAACTCACTTTTGCCAGGAGGAGTGTGTTGGTTACCGTTTTGAGCAGGCATGGGCAAACTTGGTTCACACCAAGCCCGCACTCATCACTAGTGTTAAACAGGGGTAGTGAGACAATTGTGATGCAGATTTAGTACAAGGTTACAGCATGAGTCATACATTTCTCCCTCAGCTGCTCTAAAGTAGCGCTTCCACAGAATAAAACCTGACCCTGACCACTTCTTAATTATGCAACCGTTTAGAGTGAAAATCTGTCTCATCTTTAGTGATAGATCTGTCTCAGAACTTTGCAAACTGTCGCACGTTGATGCCCAGCAATATAGACACACAGGACTGAAAATCTGTCGCTGAGACTTTGCTGAATGAGAGGCAGCCTGATTTGTGTCTAATTATATCTCTAATTTGCTTGATAAATGTCCCCCATTGTGGTTGAAGGTGTCCTTCTTTCTCATCTCAGCAAGGTAGGAGGTATATTATAAATCACAGGGCTGCATAGGAAGGTTTTGATGGGGTCTTTTGTCAGTGGCAGGGGAAATATAATGCACTCTTATTTACATCTCCTTAAAATGAAGCCAAAACATTTTTAGGCCATTACCCACAACAGGAAGTGAGAGGAAAATCCTTCAAAGAGAGGGAAATCCCTGGTGGGTCACCAGAACTAGTGTCCCCATGGGAAGATTTCCCTTCCTTTACCATCTTTTCCTGCTCTGATGACAGCCCAAAATGTGGGATTTTCTTTTAGTGATAATGATTATGTCACCAGTACAAACAGAGAGGGTGAATTTCCCTGAATGGGGACACAGAGAGCAAAAAAAACCCACCTGATAGATATTGTAATACCTCTCTACTCAAGAAATACCTCTCAAAACTAAAAAAAAAGAGTTTTGACATCAGTTGCACTAATGGAGTTAAACTCAACAATACTCTCCTCTCCTCCAGATATGTCTATGAACTCCGTCACCCTCGTCGACATCGTCACCCGGTATTTCTCCAGGTTGAGCATCTTCAGCCATCCTGATTTGTGAAAAACAATATTGCGCCGAGCTAATAATCATACACATCTAATCGATTGAAACATATATAAATGAGTCACATATATGAGCCTTCAAACAAATGAGGCATAAAAAATATATCTACACACAAAAAAAAACCAATAAAGACAAGTTTAATTGTGACCGTTAATAATATTCCATCCGTCATTTACTGCCATGGATGGTATATTATTAACGGTCACAATTAACCATTACAAACTAATACTTTGTAAATATATGCCGGTTTCCTCGGTAACCCAGCCTGTAGGTAAGCGCAGATACTGGGTCGGCGTTCTTGACAGAACACCGGCACTAAAATTTTAAACAAAAGGCTGCCCGAGGTTCTGCGCTTGCTGGGGACCTCAGCAGCCTTCCTGTAAACCATAAGGTGCCATGGCGGTTGGGGGGGGCCTTCATGGTTTCTTGCATCGGTGCCCTGAAGGTTCTAGTTACGCCTCTGGGTACCAGTATAAATCCAGGTGGAAAGAGAGAAAGGACAAGGACATAGAGCGTAACGTCCAATAAAAATGCAATTTATTAAATAAAAAATGCATATTCACAATGGTGTAAACAGTACAGGCATTGGGTATTCCTGGATCAAGCCAGCAAGGCAAATGGTAGCAAAGCGATGAAAAAACCTGTGCGTCCGGCTCAGCTCAGTGCAGTGACATCAGAAGCTCGGCCCTAGGTACGTTACGTCAAAACACGTGACTTCATCAGGGGTCTCTCATGTGTTCAAGTCACGTGTTTTGATATATGTGACTCATTTATATATGTTTCAATGTATTAGATATGTATGATTATTAGCTCGGCACAATATTGTTTTTCACATTTTCCAGATATTTAGTTATATCCTTAGTGCTTGGTAGCTCTTATTTTCACATTACACTTACTAGCGCTGATCACCCTATTGTTTATTTTTAGCCATCCTGATTTGCTGTCTCCGGATGATGCTAACCCTTCCGCTGCCAGAACCATTATGATTTTTTTTATTGTTTGCACATTTTACTCCTAAATATATATATATATATATATATTTCTTTTACGTTCATTGAAGGACACAGCCCAATATTCATTTTAAGGAAGGGTTATATGCTACTTGCAGGAGTAGGATGCTAGGCAGGCAAAAAACAACCCTGCCCTGGGGCAGCCCCTGCTGGTGGCTCAACCCCCCACTTGTTAGAGGTAGCTCAGTTTTTTGCCTAGCATCGAGGAGTAAGCACCTAACTACCTGATGAGTATTTTATTTCTTTTCTTTTACTTTATTTTTTCATTGATCTTCAATTAACAGCTGAGCTGGGTGACAGGCTGGATTATAAAGATCCTTGTAGTCTCCCCAGCTCGGCCTACAAGCACATGCAGATCCTTAGCTATGTGCGGATTCTACTGCAACAGCCCCTCCTTGGTCCAGGGGCAGCCTGTGAGTGTTTCTCACGGGGGACGCATATGACCGACTGGCCACTGGGCTGGTTTGTCACAGTGTCTCCCCTGGCTATATGCATCAGAGACGATCTGATGTGATAGGTACCCTATCCTCTTCCTGGAGTGGTAAGTAATGCTCTCTTTCCTGCTGGGTTGTTATAGGGAGCAGACCCAGACGCCTCTCCTAGGGTTGCCACCTTTTCTTCAAGCGAAACCCGAACACTCTAGCGATGCGCAGACATTTTTTTGGGGAGAATGAGTGGTGGCTTATTCATATATAAATAGCTCCACCCATTCATATGTAAATATCACAGTTGAGACTATTTAAAGTGTGTGTGGGGGGTGGGCAGTAGTCCCTATCTTAATTTTGGTTGCCCCTGTCTGCCTGACATCTTGTGTCTGGGTTTCTGCTGCTATGAAACCCGGGCACAGCATTCAAGACCCGGACTGTCCGGGTGAGTCCTGGACAGGTGGCAACCCTGGCCTCTCCTCATTTAGTGCCCTGTAAGCTGGCTAGATCGGTCCCTTTCACCTGGGTTCCCTTCTGCCATGCCTGAGTCTGTATGTTCCCAGGCCTCTGCCTTACTGGTCTTCTCCTCCCTTATCTGCAGCCTGCTTCTCCCTTCTCACTCCCTGAGTACTGTGAGCTGGCTGGATCGGTCCCTCTCCCTTGGGTTCCCTTCTGCCATAACTG